TGCCTGGCGTGTTTACATTAGCTATGTTGTGTATAGTTCAATCGTCCACGCGGTGGCGTTTGTGTTATTTCAAATATTTTGTTTCGTTCTTATTGGCCACCTGCTGGATGAGGTTAATGATTTAGTGAAAACATTCTGATCAACTGAATGAAATTGATGCTAAATAATGGACAGATGTGACGTTACTGGTTGCCTGTGTACTGCATATACGACATAAGGTCCTACACGCAATGTTTGTTTTGTATCATACCGGTGGTCAGGCGGATTTGGCTTTCGGAAGTGGAAGGCGACTGTTGCATTTTATTTTTCAATTTGTCAGTCGAAGGGCCAACGGTCGAATATTCTATTCTACTTCCGGGGTTTTCTAAAACCCGGCAGACTGCTCTGGGACCGAGAATAGCGTTGGCGGATGAACGAGAGCAGATATTAGCCTCCGACTTTAACCCTTTCTTCCCAGAAATAAACAAGACAAGGCCGGTTATGGCGGTGAAATCGTCCTTACTGAAAGATAAGGATCAATTTGAGATAGTTTTTGCGGCTCATTGACCGATAGTTTACATCCGATAACGCTGTGAACTTTTGGGTGTGATTTGAGGGGTGTTGTGGTAACCCTGACTTCTATTTTGGTTCTGCGCTCTCACCCATCTTTTCGGCATGCAATTGTGGTATAAAAGTACAGGGCAACTGTTATAGAAAATGCACAGAAAGTTTCATTTGGGATCATATAGGAGGTGTTAGGTTATTGTTGAGCGATTGGTGTTGAAATTTATTTCTGCGACCCAGGCGTGGTGCCTGTTCCATGATTTCACAATCACAATAAATTTGGTATCATAGGAAAGGAAATTTCATAAGCGTTTTAATGATATATGACACATTGAAATTGATAAAGACACAATGGAAATATGATCGAACAAAGTTGAGTAATCCAAACTTTTGCGCCAAGTTTAGTTCCATGGTTACCGCTGCAGAGCGGCCGCGTTCCAACACGCGGGGCGCTGCCGTCTGACGTTCACTGGTCTATTTTGGTCCTGCGGTATCAGTCATTACAAGCGTTTAACTTATCAATCTATATATGAAAATAAAGCTGACGTTTATGGGAATTAGTACACGTAGTTTTCAAGAGGGACTAGAATTCTACCTGTTCATTACCATCCTAGAAACATAACTAAATTTGCACGCGTGAGGAACAGCGCCTCTATGACGGAGTGAATTTTTTTCTATAAGAGTTCTGCGCTCCCCTATAATCAAGTCGACAATAAGCTATACATCAAATAAAAGCCATGGTTTCTAAAAATTAGCAAACGAATTTTCATGATGATTTATGATCTCTACGTGCTTAAAACGCCGCTACAGTTTTTACCACAATTTCATGGAGAGCGACGGTGCGCGGAGGTAGAACGCGCTGGGTACGGCGTCGTCATATAACAGAGTGAACATTTCCCGTCTTCTACTGTCGTGCAACTTTTACAATTTAAACCGCCATTAAACTACGTATTAAGGGAAAGGTAAGGTTTGTGATGAATCAGCATATCAATTTTAAGAGGTTTAATGAATTCTTGGCGCTTATCATGGTGACAAAGACGTACATTAACTCCCCCGGTTTCTGCTCCGCGTTCCACCATGGAACACAAAGGGCTCTGCGGTTTGAATGGTGTTAATCTCGTCTATTTTGGTTCTGCGCTCTCTCCCATTAAAAACGGTATCAATCTATATATCAAATTAAAGCTCAGACTTAAGGGAATCAACACATACAGTTTCAAGAGGGATCATCAATCCTATCTACCGAAAGCAACCGTACAAACATGGCTGTAAAATTAGCAGATTTCAACGCACAACTACTACAACTTTTATTAATCTTTAACAAAAAATTTGAACACGGTCGGACTCGTCAAAGCCTTGTCCTTTAGCATGCAAAAATTCAAAAGGAAACACCGAGCTATGTTTTTACCACGCATGTAAACGTCAAGGGTGTTTTCACGGCGGAAGCGCCCCGCGTCAAAATCGCGCTTTTACAAAATAAGCGTGTTCTAGAGCATTGGCCCTTCGACTGTTGTGAACAGTATTCATAAATCTCTCTACAGCATGCTACTAAGCGATATACTAGTAGTTCTTTCAAATTTGGTTGGTCCGTTTCGTTTTTTGTTTCTTTCTGTCCCTTTACCCACGTATACCCACACGCCTCTTCCAAAATCGATCTAACAGTAACACCCAGCGAGCTCTAACGTTAAGTTATATATCATCTGATCTATGGTGGCAATGCCAGCAAACAAGGAAATTTCGCTAGTGACTACGGCGTTCTAGAATTTACTGGAGGTCTATCGAAAATGCAGTTGTTGCTGTTTTTTTTTTTTTTTTTTTTTTGGAAGAAACAGTTACAAGTGGCCCATTTTATGTATGAAACCGTTTTGAAACCAAACATACATTTTGTAGGAGCAAGGAAAGATAGTGCTTCAGCACAAAGGACAGTTCGAGTTTCCCGCCCAACACTGACAACCAATCACAGCATGGAGTGTAGATCATGTGACCTACGAACGTCCAAAATGGCCGCCGCAGTTGCTAATGAAAACAACTGAAGTTCGACTGAAACTTTTCTTCCCGTTTACCTCTTTTATTCGAGACCAATGGCTCAAAGTGGCCCAATACGACCTTCTTCAGGTCGCCGTGCGGCTAAACATGAAACTTTTTCGTCGGCTGTGAGGTAAGTTGTATTTATTTTAAGATTTCCGCTGAGACTCCGATGTTGGCAGTTTGATGTGTATGTGTGTGGGCGGGTACCAAAATATCATGTCCTTCAACATGTAGGTGTCAACAGATCACAGAGAGACAGTTTTTGTTGACAAAAGACTGTCATTGCATCATTTTTACGTGTCAGTTTAAATGCATGCTCTAGCTGCAGCAGAATTGACTGACAGGACACGACCAATGACCAGTTCGTATGGTATTCATACCACCACCCCCCTAAAAAAATTATGGCAGTAATAATAAAAAAAATGTAACTTTTAGATAAAGCAAAATACTACTACTGTATTGGAAAATTATGCAGAAACTTTTGTGCTGGTTTTATTTTAGTGGTGACCTCTAACCACGAAATCAAACACCCTTGTGTGTGTTCTATATTAAAACAGTGAACTTCAGTTCAAACAATGTCAGTGTGAAAACCACCTTTTTGCTCCTCCTGTGAAAAATAACACCATGAAGGTAAATACACGACTGTTATACATCTAGAAGTAAAAGGGAACACTAGTGATAAACGCTACAACTTTTCACCTGCAGTAACTACAGGGTGCGCCAGGTGCAGTCTTTACTCCAGCCTGGCAGAGACTCCAGGCAGCCCCCACTGGATGCTGTACTGTGTATCCTTGGTGTGGACGGCAGGTAAGGCCACTAACTGCGAGGCCAACAGCCCTACGTTCTGACACCCCTACATTCCGACATAGGGTTAGGATTGCCTGACTGAACATTGGATGAGTTGTCAGAACATTATAGCACATAGGGGTGTAACCACTAATTCTAATGTACCATCCAAAATAGGTCTTGTTTCAATTTCTGTGTATTTTATAGTACTAGTATGTTATCAGTTATGATATGAACAAACCCTAATATTTGGACATTAAGGATAACCTCAGAAAAGAAGGTGTTTAAAATGGTGGCATTAATTTAAAGCAACTTCCCACATGATAATGTACAATTTTGTTGTCATTATGTGTTAAGGATGGTTGGAAATTGATCCCAGTTATCCCAAAGAATTATTACCTTTATAATAGTTAGTTAACTTAGTCTTCCCCGACTGGGGTAACCTTACCCTACACATTTCAGTCACTAAAAGAAAACAAGTTCAAACCTTGGAAAAAGAAAGATAAGAAAATTAAAAAAATGATACATGTACTTGATACTCATACATAGGCACAGTGATGGAGCCCGGGAGCTGGCCAACTATCTTCTCTTTGGTCTGTATGACTACAAGACCATCAAGAGGTAAAGGCCAAAGTTTGACTTTTTTCCTTCAGTATTCATTTGCTTGTCACTTTGCACCAAGAAAAAAATTGCAGTTCTGAATGAAATCATTTCATTCTTTCTTTCTTTCTTTTCTAGGTCTAACCTCCCAGAAGATACTGTTGATGGTATGTTTAAGAACATCATACAATTGTTACGTTTGTAAGACATTTTTCTGTTGACCCTTTCTTGGCAGGTGGTTCCTTGTTAGATGCATGTACTAGTACATAATTCAATACAATGTAGTTGCAATATTGTCTGAAAGTTTCATTTTTTCAGATCTCTAAATCCAGACTGTAGGTTGAAAGAAGAACTGCATCCTTTTGCATAGACCACACTGGTATACAAGTGTACATGATGACAGACATTGTTTTGAGACTTTTTTAAGATGTCCAGCAGCTAATACTCAACAGAGATAAATACACCAAGAAAGTCAACACTCTAGCATGCTTTTATACCAAGACCAATTCCAGCACCAAAGAACTAGACAGTGATGATTAGTAAAGCTCAAAATGCTGTTTAAACATACAGGTATATATTCAAAAGCTTTTCTACACAGAGGTAGCAGTAATATCCCATTCATTTTCTCCTAGACATGATGCTCCTGATCAGGCCAGATGGAGTGAGTATTTACTGTAACCCTGTCAACTACCCATACCTGCTGCCGTACATCGCACACTGGAAGAACCTGCAGATCTTCTGTATGGCTGAAGACAAGGTTTGGCTCCTCACCTTCTCTTTGCTTAGGTTACACTCACAGCAAGTAAATGTTACGGATGACGTCCCTTACAAATCTAATGCTAGAGCCAAGTAAAAACAAGATGGCGAAAGAAACCTGCATAAATTTTCTCAAAAGTCTGAAGTGACAAAGCAAAAGTATAGCAGTCAAAAAGTCTTTCATTCCTGTATTCAATAAATGTAGAAGGTGACACTGTTGTGGTAGCATATTATCACTACAACTACTAGTGATGGCACTTATATTGAGCCCAAACAACTCAACTCTGAATCTGTCCAAGCTACCTGTGCCATCCACCAGTCCGTTATAGAATTTCATATTTAAGCTCTTGAAGAGAGGCGGTAAGATTTGCTATTAGGTTCTGTTGACATTGTACTCTCAAAGAAATTTTCTGTGTATCTAAATTTTTAGATCAGGTGCACCACTGATCCTAATAAAATAAACAAACAAATAAACAAACCATTATTTTCCCCAAAATAAATTTTGAGCCCAGGTTTTATTGTGTTAACTTGTCCCTGCAGTACCATGAGGATGAGGAGGAGGCTGAGGAGTACAAGATCAGGAGTTTTGTGGCCATGATGGAGGGAAGCAGCAGAGTGGGACTGCCGTACAGCTCCAGATGTAAGACTACCTTCAGCTGATGCTTAAAGAACACTTATCAATATGGGAAGAACTGATGTCTCTTCTTGATGTCTCTTCTAGTTTCTGTAATGGTGTCACTGAACTAATTTTACTTAGTACTTGTTTATAATATAATACTGTACTTTAAATACAATGTACTGTTATGTAATTGGCTTCATCAGAAAAACTATGGAATTCTCTCCCCAAGACTAAGAGTGGGCTGTGGGGAAGAGTAGGGAGGTCTATGAGTGGGGTAGGTGAATGCGGATTTTCGTGGTGGCCTTTGCTGTATGCTGTACCACCACCAGTGAAAAATGTTGATGCTTACATATGATGATTTTAACCATTTTTTTCTTTGTCCAGTTAACCAACAGCAGTTCAGCCCAATGACCATAGAGAAATGGCCTATCGTACAGGCATTTGCCCTGGAAGGGTTTGGAGGGTATGTTCTATCGATTGTCTTTGGAATATGTTGTATGATATTGAAAATATGTGAAGCCTTTCCTGAAAAGAGGAGTGAAGATTTTCACCATGTTGATCGTTGTGCAAAAAGTAAAGATGAATGATACAGTTTTATACTTTCCCAGACAGTGAAAGTGAGAAGGTTGATACTGTAGCAAGTGGCATGTGTAGTCCAGTGTCTCTGCTTCTGTACAAAACTTGTGAGTTTGAATCGCAGCTATTGCTGCTCAGCTAACATGTACACTACTGAAACCATTCGCAGTCCTTAAGCCATGAACTTCTTTTCATTATGCTTGTCAAAAACAATTCCATCCATACACTGAATATGAGCCTGTCTTGTCTGTCATGACCAGCTGAAGAGTAGCTCATCTGAGTTCATTTGAGCAAATCTGGTTTGATTACACTTTCATAAGCCAATTCTGATCTGTGCCTCTCAGTGGAGGTTTCTTCACCATGAAGCACGAGGTGTTTGATGTGAGCAGCAGACTGGAGCATGTCTACACCAGGCTGGACCCTGTAGGACTGGAGAACCTGGTCACTGAGGTGAGGGTCCATCCTCAGACATTACCATTCATACTACATGTATTATGAAAGATTGTGTTGTGGTTGTAGCATTAAGGGCCTGGTCACATTCATCAGATATTTGCAAACTGAGGGCATTCCCAGGAGAGTCATGCATTTGTCTTACAAAATCCAGTCATGTATAGGTGAATGTTAGTAATGTTATTGAATTTTGCTTTCTACCTATTCACAGCAACTGTCGCAGTTTGAACAGCAGTGGACTTCATTGATCAAGACTATTGATGTTGAAAGGTAGGCAATGATGTTTGATATGAACCAATGCCATCAATATGCTGACTTAGTAAGTGAAAAAACACAGCACTTTTGTCACGTGTATTTATCAGATATTGTAATGTAAATCTTGAAAGTTTCACAATGGTTTTATTTCCATGTGAAATCTTTCTTTCCCACAGCCCTGCCCAGAGAGCAGTCTTGACAGAGAGCAAAGTTGGAGAGGTACAGTTCATTCACTTCTTGATGCTCTACTTTGCTTTAAGATAAGAGACAATCAGAAAAAAAGCAGGCCTTATTAAAGTATTTTCAATGCATCTTTAAAGACAATGCAAGCCTTCCAAATGAAACATCTGCCAATATTTCCCAACCAGCCATTGCAGAGTTACTATGCCCACGGCATGCAAGCAGGTGGCACTGGAGGGCGGAGGCAGGCCTTTGTGCTGTTTGGGACTCGTACAGGTGGAGCAGGTGGACAGGGTGGTGATGGGGTCATCGGCAAGGCAGGCATCAGGGGAGGGCCGTCTCTACACATGGTAGGGAACTAGTGCTGCGTAACTAAGCATAACATCAGGTACAGGTACCGGCACAGGCGCAGGTACAGGTTCAGAGCCAGTACAGAGGTAAGATACAGGTCCAGACCTGTATGATGAACAAATTGACAATTTAAGTACCCTGTGCTTTTCAATGATAACAGAAATGTTTAATAGTTAACAGAATCTTAAGATATCTTAAGAATCTTAAGACATCTTATATAGAGAATCTGTGTTTTAGAGGAATTTAATCATCACCCATACAACATTTTCCAGTGCTAAATTTTCTGTTGTCTCATTCCACTCCATGTAGGCTTGCCAGGCCATCTCTCCTCGTGGTCCCCTCAGCTGTGCCAGAACCTACTTCTTCAGCAGTGGACATGTCCCATACCCAGGTACCAGCTGTCTCCACTCACAATACTCTACATGTCTACATTTCATGGGAGTTAAGGGTATACTGGCATTTCTAGGTTTGTTTTCATCGACCAAGCATACAATTTATAAGACAATTGGAATGGACAGGAAGAGAAAGTAGGGAGTAATAACATGAACATGCACATGAACACTCTTCATGATCTTTCCTCTATACTTTGTTTTCCCAATGTTTATGCAGTATCAGAAGAAGCTGGCATACCCAGGACTGAGGAGAAGAACATGGATCTCAGGTAAGGTCTTAAGTAATAGGCTCTTTTACACACGCAATTGTTTTTATTATTGGTTGCTTCTCTTAATCATAAGTCTACAGTTTGAAAAGTACAAACTTCATTTCATTGTCTTTTTACCTTCGCCAAGAAGGTTATGTTTTCAGGGGCGTTCGTGTATGTGTGTGTGTGTCTGTCTGTCAACACGATAACTTGAGAAGGCCTTGATGGATTGTCTTGATACTTGGTAGGTGGGTAGGTCTTGATGAGACTTCAAAATGATTAGATTTTGGACCCCCTAGCGGCTTGTTATGGTACTGCAGCTGAACTTCCGGTTTTGATATCTCAAGATCCAGACATGCTATGGTAATGAAATTTGGATGGTAGGTAGCTCTTGTGCTGGGGAAGAAGTGACGTGAGTTTAGGCCCCCTAGCGGCTTGCTCTAGAACTGCAGGGGAGTTTAAAGGACACATGTTTAAAAGAGGATAACTCAAGAACCGATTGACGGATCATCGTGATTTTTGGTATGTAGGTAGCTTAAGTGATGCTTGAGATAATGATATTACAATTATGCGAATATTGATGTAATTTGCATAATTAATGAGGAAATTCTATGAATCAGCTGCATTCCATGATAGTAAGTTCAAGCTTGTAACATATGTTATTAAGAACGAGAGAAACACAGG